AATCCATTTAGAGAACAATTAGCAACAACAATGTGTTGTCTTATCTCAGTATTTTACTTTAACAAATTTTGATTGGTCAGTAAATAGTTGAAATGACTGCCTACTTATGTCTGTATCTCATCATAATGATAATTAATAACCATTTGAATAGCAAGTGCACAACTCCCATTTTAAGCATTAAGGTTTTTTAACACTATAAACGTTCACAATTAAAACTTTCGTGTCTTTCGTTCTTGTCTGATATTTACTAAAAACTCCTGACTTGGCAATGTCGTTGTAAAACACAGATGAACGTGTTATGAAACGGAAATATTCAATGGAGTGGTCTGAACAAGTGCGAAATCCGAATTGGGAGTGGTAGACGGCCGTTCTGCTCTCTTTTCGAGCTTCACACTTGTTCAGCCGTTTCAGAACTTTTCCGTTCTTTCGACTACGGTACAGTAAGAACCAGGGTGTCAAAAGAACTGGGTGGTCCTGGACATGTGATGCTAGCCCACATGTCCGTGACCCTAAGTCACTGAAGAACTCTGGTGCTTACAGCTAAATATATTTGGCTTTAAAATTATCTAAATTATCATCCCGCTCAAATTAAAATCTTAAGAGCTGAGGTAGGATAGAGTAAGGTCCTGGATTGTAACTAAAGGTTGCCAATCCGTGCCCTGAAAAACCACCCGGCCCTTTACTAACGTTTAATCTTAGAGAAAAAGAACGTTTATAGGTGATTAGAATTCATTAATTTCGACGTTCACACTATTTTCCGGTCGAAAGGGATATTTATTGTTCTTAGATGAGATCAGATAACGGATAGGTTGTAACATTTTGAAAATATTAATTATGATTATATTCCAATTTTGAGCTCAACTTGAATCGGACTCTTAAAAATCTGAAGCCTTTAAAAGCTAATCTTATGTGCGGACCACACTTTCTTAACACCGAAATGTTTTTAGTTTAATGTCAGAAAATTTAAATATTGAAGATTAAAATTACCAAAAACTTCTATAACCTGTTCTTGTATAGGGTTCAAAATCTTGGGCTATATCAAAATTGTCTGAAAATGTACTAGCTTCTTTTTTAAAAAAAAAATAGTTGCGAGGATTCTGGACGTAATATATTAATATTAAATGAAATCACGCATACAATGAGCTGTACATGCTGTATAGAGCTGAGTATTCACAACCACGATAAATTGCATACGATTTGCTGGACACATCTGCCGAATGGACAAATTCTTAATATCCGGAATCTTTAAACAAATTGGGTCCCGCACTCGACTGATCGTGAAGACGTGTTCACTTTGATCAACCTGCAAAAGGATCGAGGGTGCACAGTCCTCGTTATGCTGTTCTACCGCAAAGTGCTCGACTTCACGTACAGGTAGTTGGTCTACCAAAAGCAGGGGAGCCATCCCCACTGCAGAGGATCAAAATTGCGATGGCATGTCTTTTGATTATCATCAGGGATTTTCCCCAGTTTGTCGCCATTGTGCAGCTCTAGTGCTACGTAAATAAAGTACCTACCTTTAAAGAAATTGGAGCCCGAACAAGAGGCAGGCCTAGAGAATAAAGTGTTGACTACATTAATGAGGATTTCAAAGCAATTAGAAGAAGGAAGAGTAGAACTAAAATAAGATTCGTTAGTACTCGATTCACAAAAAGCTGTCAAAGAATTTTACAATAGATTCACGTTGAAACAAAACAAACTTTCATTAATTTTTACGGAACAGTTCATTTCTGATTTGTTTTGGGAGACATTTTAGTTTGCCAAGAATTACCGTAAATTACATTTGCTAGAACTCACTATTTCACAGAGGTCTTCAAAAAAAAAATTTCTTTTTTCAGTTGATCAAAATAATGCATCCAATTTTTGTTAGTAATTTTGTAAAAGTTGAATTTTTAATGTTAAACCATTACATGCCATCAAAATTTTTCAGTTCTGTTAGTGTTTTACTGATCTTAATTTCTTCGTTTCTCATTTTTGTTATTTTATAAAGCATAAAAACATAGTGTAATAATGTGTAGTTTATTTTAAAGCCTGTCATATTTACATTTTTAGCATAATATTGGAAGACTTTTGCCTTTGATGAAATTAAATTAATCCTAAATTTCTAGATTTAAACTAAATATGTATCTAATTAGATTTTATGTAAAATTCAATTTCGACTTTTTACGAGAGTAAAAATAAATAATTTAAACTCCCTTTTTCTCGCATTGCAATAAAATATATGAATACTGTTTACATAGAAAGCATTTAGATCTGGTATAAAATTCAAACTTTTAAATCTAATTTAATATTTTATTTACAAAACTTATTCACATATAGCTGAAGTTAGCCAAATTTCCTTTTAGTATCACCTTAGAATATTATTTTAAGGTTAATTTTTTACTTTTCGCATGCTAGTACAAAGATACGCATGTTAGCACAAGCAATATTTCATCAGGGAACTATTTTATTTTTAATTTAACCACTGACTAAAAAAAAGGCTTCAGCATGTTAGCATGGCAGTCTCCCCTGAGGAAGTACTGTTTTTGCTAACATGCGTATCTTAAAAATTTGTTTGGTTTTAAGTTAAATTCTCCCATTTTTTTTTATTAAAATTGTGCACTTTATTTCAAACTATTGGTTTAAATATCTGCAAATTCTGCGTGATCGGATTAGATGATCTCGATTAATTTATGATTTTTGTTATGTGCTTAGGTGCTGTTTTTTTCTCTTGTATTTTTCAGAATTTTCTTACTACGTGATATGCTTCTGATGAAATTTCAGATAGCTAGAACTGCACGGGATCAATTTTTTGATAATGCCAAGAGCTTGCAGCGCTCCCTAGTGTAGAGAACACGATCCATATTATCCGTTTTAAATATACTCGTTTATTCTACCCTATTGGTTCATATTGTTTAATTTGTCCTTTTTGTTTTATACACAGGTACTGCTTTTGTGTCTTGTATTTTTCAGAATTGATTGTCTTGCTATGTTGCTGATGAACACGTTTCGAGGAGCTAAAACTGCAGAGGATCATTTTTAGATAAAGCCTCAGACGAGTCTATGAAGAACGAAACAATTTGAAGATATTAAATGACTGTTTTACAGACAAACCAATGATCAATCGCTTTCTTGCTGGCCTAGTAAGTGAGACGATAAAATTTTCTCGTCCTTGTTCTTCTAATAACTTTTAAATTAATGCACTTTTCATTTTTCAGAGTCTCAAAACATCACATTGATCATCACATTGTGATCTAACTGGCTTCAAAGCATTCCAAAAGCAGTAACCCGGAAGTATAAACAGTCGGGAACTTGCAGCGCTCCCTAGTGTAGAAAACACGATCCATATTATCGGCATTAAATATACTCGTTTATTCTACCCTATTGGTTCATATTGTTTAATTTGTCCTTTTGTTTTGTGCATAGGTACTGCTTTTGTGTCTTGTATTTTTCAGAACTGATTGTCTTGCTATGCTGCTGATGAACACGTTTCGAGGAGCTAAAACTGCACAGGATCATTTTTAGATAAAGCCTCAGATGAGTCTATGAAGAACGAAACAATTTGAAGATATTAAATGACTGTTTTACAGACAAACCAATGATCAATCGCTTTCTTGCTGGCCTAGTAAGTGAGACGATAAGCTTTTACTCGTCCTTGTTCTTCTAATAACTTTTAAATTAATGCACTTTTCATTTTTCAGAGTCTCAAAACATCACATTGTGATCTAACTGGCTTCAAAGCACTCCAAAAGCAGTAACCCGGAAGTATAAACAGTCGGGAGCTTGCAGCGCTCCCTAGTGTAGAAAACACGATCCATATTATCGGCATTAAATATACTCGTTTATTCTACCCTATTGGTTCATATTGTTTAATTTGTCCTTTTGTTTTGTGCATAGGTACTGCTTTTGTGTTTTGTATTTTTCAGAACTGATTGTCTTGCTATGCTGCTGATGAACACGTTTCGAGGAGCTAAAACTGCACAGGATCATTTTTAGATAAAGCCTCAGATGAGTCTATGAAGAACGAAACAATTTGAAGATATTAAATGACTGTTTTACAGACAAACCAATGATCAATCGCTTTCTTGCTGGCCTAGTAAGTGAGACGATAAGCTTTTACTCGTCCTTGTTCTTCTAATAACTTTTAAATTAATGCACTTTTCATTTTTCAGAGTCTCAAAACATCACATTGTGATCTAACTGGCTTCAAAGCACTCCAAAAGCAGTAACCCGGAAGTATAAACAGTCGGGAGCTTGCAGCGCTCCCTAGTGTAGAAAACACGATCCATATTATCGGCATTAAATATACTCGTTTATTCTACCCTATTGGTTCATATTGTTTAATTTGTCCTTTTGTTTTGTGCATAGGTACTGCTTTTGTGTTTTGTATTTTTCAGAACTGATTGTCTTGCTATGCTGCTGATGAACACGTTTCGAGGAGCTAAAACTGCACAGGATCATTTTTAGATAAAGCCTCAGATGAGTCTATGAAGAACGAAACAATTTGAAGATATTAAATGACTGTTTTACAGACAAACCAATGATCAATCGCTTTCTTGCTGGCCTAGTAAGTGAGACGATAAGCTTTTACTCGTCCTTGTTCTTCTAATAACTTTTAAATTAATGCACTTTTCATTTTTCAGAGTCTCAAAACATCACATTGTGATCTAACTGGCTTCAAAGCACTCCAAAAGCAGTAACCCGGAAGTATAAACAGTCGGGAGCTTGCAGCGCTCCCTAGTGTAGAAAACACGATCCATATTATCGGCATTAAATATACTCGTTTATTCTACCCTATTGGTTCATATTGTTTAATTTGTCCTTTTGTTTTGTGCATAGGTACTGCTTTTGTGTTTTGTATTTTTCAGAACTGATTGTCTTGCTATGCTGCTGATGAACACGTTTCGAGGAGCTAAAACTGCACAGGATCATTTTTAGATAAAGCCTCAGATGAGTCTATGAAGAACGAAACAATTTGAAGATATTAAATGACTGTTTTACAGACAAACCAANTAGTCAGCCTCATGTGAAGTACAATTCACCTATATTAGATTCCATATGTCTGCTCCTCGAGAAAGACAAATACTAGTTGGAGCTAATCTACAGCTATTCTATAAAGAACTTTTGCTTTCAACATTTTACCAGTTAAAGCTGTTTGTGCTAACTATTTTAATTAATTTATGTTTTGTAGAACAAAAATAGAGAAAGTGGAAAGGTCATCAGTACTTTGTTAAAAAAGAAAGAACAAAAATAGCTTTAAACAAAGTAGATATATTCGCCACTGATCAGCTAGTTAAAATTCTGTCCGCGGGCCGGATAAAATCTTCCGGCGGGCCACAGTTGGCCCGCGGGCCGTAGTTTCCCCATCCCTGCTTTAAGGGAACGATTTCCAGCAACAATGCGTCGTTTTATTTCCAGTAATGTTTAATGCACGCACAATTTGTGTGGGGTCACACTAATAACAGTAAATAAACGAAGAACCTTCTTAAATCGGTTTATTAAATAGTGCATAGCCTTAAAATTAATGTGAGCATGTTAAACTTTTTAAGCATCGAGGATTGTTAACACTATGAACGTTCACAATTAAAACTTTCGTGTCTTGCGTTTTTGTCTGATATTTACTAAAACCTCCTGACTTTTCGCAATTACGTTGCGATGTCGTTGCAAAACACAGATGAACGTGTTATGACTTTCAATGACTGAACAAGTCTGAAATCCGAATTGGGAGTGGTAAACGGCCGTTCTTCTCCCTCTTCGAGCTTCACACTTGCTCAGCCGTTTCGGAACTTTTCCGTTCTTTCGACTACGGTGCAGTAAGAACCAGGGTGTCTGAAGAACTGGGTGGTCCTGGACATGTGATGCTAGCCCACATGTCCGTGACCCTAAGTCACTGAAGAACTCTGGTGCTTACAGCTAAATATATTTGGCTTTAAAATTATTTAAATTATTATCCCGCTCAAATTAAAATCTAAAGGGCTGAGGTAGGATAGAGTAAGGTCCTGGACTGCAGCTAAAGCTTGCAAGTCCGTGCCCTGAAAAACCACCCAGCTCTTCACTAACGTTTAATCTTAGAACAAGAACGTTTATAGTGCTTGTAATTTATCAATTTCGGCTTCCATAATATTTTCTAGATAAGGGGAAAAGCGTTGCTCTTGTGTTAGATTAGTTAAGTGATAGTTGCTTTGCGAGAATGTTAACGATGTTATTTTAAATTTGAATTAACCTTTAATCGGTTTCTTAATATTAACTTCTAAATCTGTACGATATATCTGTACGATTAAGAATTTTTTGACACGGAAATTATTAATTTAAAATATAGTTTTGAAGATTCTGGAAGCAGTGTAAAGCAACCATTCATGAAAGCACATGTGTACAATGAGCTTTGTAAGCTGTATAAATCTGTTATTAACAACTGCATTGAACTGTATAGAATTTGCGGTATGCATCTGCCAAGTGAACAAATCCTCCTTAATGTTCAGAATATTAAAATAAATTGTAAACTGAAGAAGAAGCAGGCCGAGTGAATAAAGAGGATTGATTACATTAATGAGGATTTCAAAGTATTTAAAAGAATCTAATAACTTTGCGAGGAAGTCCTTGGCCCACAAACAGCTGTAGAGTCAATCACTAATTCGTTCTGATGATGTGTTTGTTGACCTAGAATTACTATGAATGGTATTTGAATAGTATGATATTTTTTTCTAATGTGTAAAAATTAATAAAATTTTGCTTTTTAGTGCTAACCTATTTTAAGTCACCAAAATAGTGTAATTCCATGAGGAAGAAATTAAAATTTAGTAGAGTGGGTATGAGCCAGATTTTGTAATTTTTTAACGGATGAAAACTCCGATATCAAGATAGGAAAATGCTGCAAAAATATAGAGTTAAATTTAAAACTTGTTCGATTTAAAGAGTATTCAAAGTGTTTACCATTATTTTTATATATTGATTTATACTTCTGATCGTTTCATTTCTAAATTAAAACTGAACTGGTCTTCTACCTTTGTTTGCTTTCTTTTGATTTTTTTTAAAATCAACATCTTTTGGAATTAATAAAAGAGTTTAAATATGGATAAAAATTAAAGCGCAAAATAAAAATTAATAATATGTAAGCCAATGAAGCATTTTCTCATTCTGATAACATAAAAAGTACTTCTTACTATATTTAATATTGTATATATATACTAATATATAATATATACTAACTATACTATCACTTGTATTTAACTAATCTACTGTGATACGTTTATTACTGCAGATATTCTAATATTGTTCAATGATTTAATTTATCTCAAACAATATTAGTTTTGAATATAGGTTTTATCTGCCTTATTATTGGATTAGATTATGTATAATTCAATCTTTTTTTTGTGCATCGTTACTGCTTCTGTCTTTGGTATTTTTCAGAATCTTCTTCTTGATATGAACACGTTTTGGGAAGCTGAAATTGCAAAAGATGAATAGTCTCGAATAAAGCATCTGATTAATCTCTGAAAAGTTGAAGGTCTTTTCAAATATGTTGCTGCCTACTTTCAATTAACTTGCTGGCCTAGTAGGTGAGATGAAGTTTTATTTTTTCTATTGTTCCTCCAAGACCTTTTTACTTATAATAAATTTAATTTAGCAGAGAATGAATTTTGCGCCATTCTCCAGATTCAAGTGTTGCCGAGATTTCAAAGGAAATTGAAAGGGCCATTTTGTGTTTGTCAAATGAGATGAGACTGATCTGTTCCTCGAAGATGATTTCATTCCCAAAGATGTGGCTCAAGATAGAATCTCATACCGTCGAGCTAACCGTGGAAGGTTTTCATGGTTCCCTCTCCATGTAACGCAAATGCGGGTCAGTTGCAGCGTAAGTCCTCCATGAAGGCTATTTCGATCCAGGAGTTCTCTCGTCTTCTGGTTTCAAGTGTGCGATCTTGTGCAGCTGAACAGTCATAATCGTAAACCCAGAAATGGGTCTGCCATCCAACCCTGGTTGAGCAATAAATTAAATTCAGTTGGATATCTCTTTTTGCACTAAGCAAACTTGTTGAAAGTTTTCGAGAACAGACTTCCGTGGTTCCTACTCTAAACCCTGCAATGACAATTAATGTCTTTCGAATTAAGTGTTTACATAGTTGTCATACTGACCGTAAACTATTTTTATTGAAGGAAAGTAAAATTATTTTTTTTAGAAACGTAAACATAATCTTGTCAAATGCTTCCAAGTTCATTAATTTCCAGGGATTTTATTTTGTGTTATTCAATGTAATGGCTGTTTTTTACTGTTTAAAAAATTTGAATATATCATTCTCACTTTGAATTGTGAGAGCATGAAGGTTATGGTAAATTTATAGCAAGTATACTTATTAAACTAAAAAATGAAAGAGATTGAATTTTTTTTGATACGAAATGACAACAATTGATGCCGTTGTGATTTACCAAAGCTTTTACTGTTCCAGTTTTTTGTCTGTTCTTCCTAAAAAAGTTTCAAGATTTGAATTTCATTTACTGTAATATACTTCCATTCAGAACTAAACTTTTTTCCTCCTTTGTCATTTAAACTTTACAGTTTTTTAAAAATACTTTATTAGTAAACGAATTGTATATAAAACCAAAGGTTTATAGCTATGTGAAAGCTCTAAAAGTGTGATTTTTTGTTTCCCTCATAGTTTGCTGTTTTAACTTTGCTACTTTTAAAGTGGTAGCAAATATTGATATTGTTAAAAGACACTTTTGATAATGTGTTAATTTTTTCAAGCTTGCAATGTGGATGTTAAATTTTGCTATTTTTGTACGAGACTTTTAGCATAATGCATAGATACATGCAATTCTGTGTCTTGTTCTACTCTTATCAGCCATGAATAAATAGCTTATTCTTGATATTTGGGTTTTGTCTTTTTCGTTGGTTGTCAATTTCTAGGATGAATTAAAATTACCCAGTAAGGGTATGTAATTAAACTTCGATAATATTATTGCTTTCAGATTAACCAGATTTTGGAGGTCTTCCATGTTAAGACTCTTACTCAAAGACTAGCTTTTCATATTTCGTGAACGGCGCGAAAAGTGTTTCTGTGGTATCTGTTTCAATGCAAGTGCGCTAAATAAACTATATCACACCGAGTAACTTTTTGTTCCAGTGATCGTATTTTCACAAAATGAGTGACACTCTTAAATTTTCAAAAGAATGATTTCATTAGCTAGCAATAATTAATAACTAAGTATTTGTGACAGATTCTGTAGCTGAATAGTTAGCTTCAATTCTCGTATCTGCTGCTTCCCGTTTGAACCGCTACATTTGGTAAAAATCTGATCACTAGAAAAAGATATATTCAGGGTTTTATTTTGAGTACTGCTTACACTTTTTATTCTTAGTTAAATTAAAAGTATCATTTAAGATAAAATTGTAATTTTCATTGGCATCAAATACAGACATCTAGTACAAATTTAAGCAATATAGCTAGTCTGAAATTAGTCTAATTTTGATTGGTAATAAGGTTTTTTTGCAGCATACACGAAAAGGGCAAATTTAATATTAATTGAAAATTAATTGCTACTCACTTAGTTGTTAGAAATACGATCGGCGATAAGTTCTATTTAGCGGCGCTATTTTTCTAGAGGAAAGGAATTAGAATTTCTTTTGCATAATGTTTTAGTGAAACAAAAACGTCTAGCTTAATGATAATCGCTGAAATTGAGTCTCTAAATTAAATTACAATAAGTGATAGTTTAAGCACATAGACTGCGGCGATAATGTAGGACTGATAAAATTAGATTCTTGAAAATGTTTATTCGTTTTTTGGTGATGCTTAACTTGAGATTTTTTTTCCACTATTTCAATTTTTTTTTTCATTAAAAATGTATAATCCATTAACTTTGCTGTTTTAGAATTTATCTTTTCATACACAGACAAAATTAAGTGCCGAAATAAGGAGACAATTAACAATAACCATACTTTGTAAATACTATATTGCAGAAAAAGGAATTAAAATTTACACATTTAAAAACAGAAAACTATTTACTCAAAATAATAAAGTACTAGAAAAGAATAATGAGAATAGATATGGGAATTGGAATATTTAATACATAGAAAAAAAACGATGAAATAAACTTGAACTAGTAAATATTACTTAATGTAAATATTTACTTAAAGAAAGTCATTCAACTCTAATTTTTTTTAACTGAAGGTTACCCTGAATTTTTGAGCATTAGCACATCGTAACGATATTGAAAAGATATTTTTAAATAGACTGTATTTGAGAAAACATAGATTTTTATGATGCAATATAGGGTAAACCAACCAGTGAAGGAACATTTCATATATGTTGATAAGAAATAAGAATTTGAAGGTTTTTCTTTAGATTCATTGGTAACAATAGCTTACTGCCAAACAATAGGAAGTCATCTAGCAATGTTTTGGATTACCTGGTCACATAGACATCTCTCTAAAAAATTTTAAGTTTGTTATCTCTGCAACACCTTGTTTCTTTGAAAAAAATTATAAGGTGAGTGTTTGTATTTATATGTTTGAAGTGGAATTAATTGCATGTAATAGTTTTATTTTTCTCACTGTGAAAGAGAGAATTCAAAATATAGTTATTGAAGTTGCGTTTTATTTTTTTAGGCATCATAGCACAATAAAGTACTGAGATAAGGGGGTGTTTATTCACTGGATCACCAAACGATGAAAAACCAGTGAAGGAACAAGTGTTCCTTTACTGATTTTTTTTCTAAGTTAATGAAAATAAAAAACTTTAACTTTCTTGTACCTTTAGTGATGTTCCGCATCAAAAGTATGTAAAAAATACGAAAAACAACCTCTAACCAGTGAGGGAACAGGCATGTTCCCTTATTGGGCATAGATTTCCCAGTGAATGAACAGGAACAGTATGTGTTAATATGTTGACACTTTAATTTTCAATTCATGATTACAAAAAAAAAAGTTTACATTTTCCAAGTATTTGTATGTTATAATTTCAAGAATAGGTTTGTTTTTAGATATTTGTATGGCATATAAATTCATAAAGAGCATTAAAAAATAATCAAAATTAAGTGTTACTTTACTGGATGTTCATTCACTGGTAAAAGCTGTTCCTTCACTGGGTCTTCTTACTACTTGTTATTTGAACCTCCAAAACTTTAAAACAATATTATATAAGTTCTCTACAATTTTTTTACATAATTTGCATGACACTGTCATTTAACTAAAATTACGAATTTTGAAATTAATGATATTTTAAAAGGCAAGCGAAGCTTAAGTGTTCCTTCACTGGTTAGATTACCCTAGAATAATAAAATCATCCCCTCTATATCTAAATGTATACTATTTCTATCCAATCTGTTACTGATTTCAAGTAAGTTTTAGGCTGTAATTGAGCATTATTTTAACTTAAACTGGATGCGTAGCGTTTTTAAAGTGCTTATCCATTTTAATTTTTTCCTTTTTAATAGTTAGGTTGCTACTTCCAGTAGTGCTTTCACAAGGTGATGTGTGGTTTGTTATTTCTTGTTAATGCTTTGCTGTGCTGATACTTTTAGTAATCTTAAGAGGTTATAACCTATTTTATTTCATTTTAAAATATTTTTCCTCAAATATTCTTCCAGTTATGACATTAGCTACTTGGCGCTGTCGCAACGTTTTAACTCAAAAATAAACCACGCAAAGGAACTGACATGTTTTTTTATGATGGAATGGTTGCTATAATAGGGATTATATTAAAAAAAATTAGACTATTACAATTTATGCAAATTCAATATTGCATTGAATCATAATTAAACAAATTTAGAATTTTACAATATTTATAGAAAATAACGAATATAGTTTACTTTTTCTTCATACTTTGAAGATTTTCTTGTACAGATGTGGAATTAAATTCAGCACTTCCCAATTTTTACTAGTAAGTCTTCTGTTTTTCGGATCCAATGTTCGAATAACTGCTTCGTGGTGATGAATGCTAGCTATCTTTGTTGCTAATTCTCGTTTAGCATTCTTTTTTATCTTTTAAATAAAAACAAGAAAGAATGTATAAATACACTTCTCGCATTTATTAAGAGCTAGATATTGTTATTAAAGGTTGTTTAAATAAATAAATAGCCACATTAGAATAAAAAAAAGAGGCCTATTAATCCTACTCAAGGCCAACATGAACGCAGATTAAGTGAATCAATTAAACGTAAAATTAATAATTAACCGAGGAAATTTTTATTTCAGGAGACTATAGATTTTACGATCCCAAAAACAAAATATACGGAATTACAATCGTACGTTATGAACCGTTCAAATCCTAATTTGGATACAATAGACCTCTGTTCGATGTGCCCTGCTCTTCGGAGCTGATCTATCTCTAAGCCATTTTAGTAGCGACACAATTCTATTTTAATGTGGCATTATGGCATTTTCTAAATGATAAATTATCAATCTACCTATAATATTATATTAATAATGAAAAAATCTGCTTTTGGAGGTTAATTACTTGGAAATTGTTTTTTTTTTTAAATTATATTAAAAACACGTAGATAACTTCCTTTCTTATACAATTTTCGGGTCATCAAAAGTGATTTTATGGCACAATATTAAAGTAGAAATCAATGTAATGTACTATATTGTACTTCAGCCAGAAGATAGGGACCGTGAGAAACAAAATATTATCAAAAAATATAAAAAATTAAAAGACCTGAGAATTAAAGTACAACCAATTATCCGAGATGCATCGCTGTCCCAGATGTCTGAATTTCCCGGTTTTCTGGATCGACCAAAAAGTGTTGTTAATCAATGTTTTATCGAACCCAAATTGAGTGTGAAAAGTGTAACACATTTTAAAATAAGCAAGAAAAAAAGTTCTCCTAAATTTAAAACAAAATTGTGGAAAGTTTTAAAGAATGAAAAGATTTGCAAGTTTAAAAAAGAAAAGTTTAAAATACAAAATTAACGTATTACAAATATACAAATACAAAATTAACGTATTTATTTTCTGAAAATAATTAAAATCGCTAATTTAACTGATATAAAACAAAACCAATGATTGAAAAACGCAATATATTTCATATCTAATTATACGGGGAAAAACGATGAAATAAAAACAAAACTAAATAAAACAACACTTGGAAATTATGGAACGTAAACGAGAGTTTAAAAAGGCACTAACATAAATATTTAGGCCCCGAGCAAGGCAGGATATTATGAGATCAACGGAATAAAAAATAAAAATAAAAAACTTAAATCATAAAATTTATGAATAAAAAGAATTTATTTATTGTGTACGAAATTTATTGTGAAATGAAAGAACAAAAACAAACTCAAACATAGTGGAAGCTGAAATGTATCACATTTAAGAAAAGTGCAATCTGCTTCATAAAATAATCGTCTGCTATTAGTAATAAATAATTGTATGCTTAGATTAATAAGCAATCTTTTATCTTTTTTATAAAAACAGATGATTTCTAACGAAAGCAGATGTGATTTGTGATTCCACATCAAGAAATACTCACAAATGATACCGCACTTCTATAGAATCTGAATTTATTTAAAAGAAATATATTGTTTCGTCAATCGATGTCAAATGAATAAATATAACAGGTGAGTAAAAAAACGTTTTGTCTCGTAATAAATAATGTATTATCCGAAATTATAAGACATTTTGTCATAATAAATTAAGGATAACATCAGAAGTATCAAGTTCCTTAACTCGGACACCCAATTGACAACACTTAGAAACTGTTATGAATAATAGAAGAATCTTAAAGATGCACCAAATAGTGGTTAATTCGGGGGAAAAAATTGATTTTTTTAAAAATCCCGTATTGCGCGAGCGCAAATAACAATATTACGAAAAACGGAAGAGTAAAATACAATTGGATCGAGTGTCGAATTCTCTGACAATTGA